ACACACACAAATATATATGTATGTATGTATGTATATGTATACCCTATATATACATACATAATATATATATATAAATATATATGCATATATATGTATATATACATCTATATACACACATATATGCATATATATATACATATATATATAAATACATATAAAATATATGTGTATATATACATGTATATATAATATATGTATATACGTATGTATATATATGTATATAAACATACATACACACAAGCACACACATATATACATGTATATATATGTAAATACACACATATATATACATATATTATACACATACACATTATACATACACACACACACATATATATATATATATATATATATATATATATACACATATGTTGTGGTTGTCGCTGTGTGTGTGCGGCCTCATAGCAACACATGTACCTCGAGTGGTTGAGCAGTAGGGCGACTATGAGGGGGATTTCGAGTCGCGCCACAGGTCAGCCACAAGCCACTACATGTGTGCACTCCTGTTCACTTCCATTAGCCTGGCAGTCGCACTTCTAGTAGTCGGGCCACTAAAAACGTTCGTCTCAACAGGGTCTAATAGGTGTAGCCACCTAAACTGATCGTGCCGCTGCCAGATTAAGCTTCAAAACTGGATTAACTCTTATGGCACGTACAGAAAACGCCTTTACATAAAGTCTGAATCAGAAAATGAGTTGAAGTTTCCAAACCCATGCGAAGACAATTGGTATTAAAAAAGAAAGAAAGGAATAATTGCAGAGTAGTTAGATACTTTTCCCAATTCACTGTAAGCTTTTATAATTCTTGTATTGAAATAATAAAATGATGTCAACATTTCAAGCAATTACTATAAGATAGTTATGAAAGAAATGGCCTTCTTATACATGCTATTTTCTGATGCATTTGTATTTTGGTCCGCAATACATAATATACATAAATCTATGGAAACGTTTCCAACGTTTCCATACTTTGCCGTATCCGCCTCACATAATTGATATTTCTCTAAAAAATATCTTCACTGCGAGCAAAAGTACCTCAAAATTTTAATCTTAAAAGAAAATATAAGAATTTTTCTGTAATAGATGATATCATGAAATTTACAGCAACTTTGATTGCCGTTTTAATATCTTCTTTAGTAAATGCAACCCGACATTAATAAAGGCGGAAGAGAGTGATATGAGTGTTTTGGCGCCGACGCCTCATTTTCTTATTTTCATTATAAATATTGATACGTTAATTGATTGCTTTTATGTTACGGCAAGAATGAAAGATAAGTGAGTATTGAATATTGTACTAGAATATGCACATCTAGGAGAAAGGGTAGAATATTAGTATTTTGCAAACGAAATCATTACCCATGGCTCAAGCAAAGATAGTAAAGGAGAGTGGAAGTTTTTACGGTTTGAAATGTAAAAAATAATGAAATGGGTAGGATAGGTTAAGGGCATTGGTAAACTAGGCATTTGTACAGGTGATACTATAGATAAGAGTTGCCTTCTTTGCATCGTTGTAACGTGTGTTATACCCAACTCTCCCAGAGCCTCCAACTGCAGTTTGTCACTGGCTTGTATGGTAATTCGGTACAGGTCCAGTTCCATACAGCCTTCGTTTAGACAAAAAATAGTATGTGCAAATGATAGAGCGAGTGATTCTAAGAAACTTATCTTCTGTGAACTTTAACTGGTAATTCTTTACAGGGTATTTTTCTGGAATATGTCTGCCAAACAGATCGTGACGATTTTGGTATCTCTGAATTCCTCTCACTGTATAGTTTTCCAATATATAGAATTTATTGTGTGGAAACCCCTCAAATCCGCACATTCTTGTAGGAGGCTGTTCCCCCTGTAACCCCCCATGGGGGCTGCCGCCCATCAACCCACCCCCAGGAAAACAAAGAATTGCCCACGTATTCATGGCAGGAGAAAGTCTAGAACAGACTTGGCAATGCCGCTCCCACATGGTGGTTGTCCGCTTGTGCATGCCGTGAATACGTGGAGGATTCTTTGTTTTTTTGGGAGGTTGGCGGGGTGTTGCAGGTGGTAAAGCCCCCTTTGTGTATCATTTACATTTTACCCTGCAATTTCCCTGGTACTTTTCATGCCCTCCCCTGCTATTGGGGCCAAGAATGTAGGGCCGGGGCTCCCCCAACATATTTGCATTGTAGATGCATATCTATCCATTTAGACATAATCTTTAATTTGTCTAGCCTAGTGTATCCATACTGTACAGATTAAGCACTTGTGCAGCTTGTTGAGTAAAATTGCAGATGTTAAAGATATGGACTCAGCAAACTTTGTCAGCCATATTACTTAATTACTTGATTTATCATTGAATATTTATGCCCTCAGCTATACTCCTTGCAGCTTACACTCAAAATCAAATGAATGTTCTAAAATGATGATTGTAGTAATAAAATGGATAAATGAAGTAGAGATAAAAGTATGTAAATATATGATACAGTTGTCTTTTGCTATTATTTACTTTTCCCTTTCTATGATATTTACATGTTTATTATCATTTAATCTAAATACTTGTTTGTAATATATATGATTATCTGTAATTCTCTTAAGACATTTGTTGGTAAAATTACTACTTTCACATTTGACAGTTAGCTGTAACCCAAATTATGTGTAAATTGGTATCAGTGCATGAATATAGAATAGCAATGAGAAAATAATAGTAGCTAGTTATACTATGTGTTACTGCATGGTAATTAATTTATTTGAAAGTATATATAAATTTGAGAGGGTGAACCTTTTGATGGGAAAGTGTTTTCTTTTGGTGGGAGAACAGCTATTTTTTACAAAAAAGTTGATACTGCCCAATTATATCTAAATTGCACAACTTGGTGAAGTATGTTACCCAGATGCTTCATGACTGAACAATGGGGAACAAATAAAGCATGGATAGTTTGTATTTTTCTTTTTCGTTCTTCTGATGAGTGCTATTAAGGCAAAACGGTAATCTGCAAATAATATACAAAGGCAGATATAGGCAACAGATGGTTTTAATATATATTCGTTGAATAATTTTATTTTATTTTATTAATATTATTATTATTAACAAATGAAAGCATTTATCTTTTAGTGATTGGAATCTATAACCCGTATAGTTAAGCAGAAATAGATTATAGTCTTTGATTATTATGTAAGGACATTAACATTTGATTAGGAAATTAAAACAAGGAAGGTCTGTTTATTGATTGAATTTTTCATGCATTTAATTTTGAATATTGAAAAATAAGTAGCAAAATATGTTATTTATTAACAACAGAGCTTATATTTTAACATTATTTATTTAACAACAGGGCTTATGTTGTTATACTTGGAAAGTAATATTGTTATTAGAGAAAATCCCAGCTCGATAACCTTAGGGTGACCGCAAATTTATATGGCCAGCTGTACCAATTATATTTGCAGCCTCAGTACCTGTTAGTACCTAGTGAAAGGCCAGCTAACTACCAGGATGTATATTTTGGTGAGACAGAGTTTGTACAGATCCCTGGCAATTTATTGCCAATTAACCCCAAGCCGCCGGGCATGGCATGTACATACATGCCATTGCCCATTGTGTGTGTTGAATTTAGTAATTGATTTTACATATAGATAGCTGGCTCCACAATTACTAAGTCACCAATGAGCCAATTATGCGAACTGCCTGTCTCACCTCTTTACCCTTTTTCTTGATTTTCGATGATATTTCCTTATATTATTACTGCTGTTAGCAATGTTAGTAACAATAAAATAATTATAACGTTTATAACATAAAAAACAGTGTCAGTATTGAAAGCATTAGTAAAAAAAGCGTTTTCCCGCTTTTTCAAGGAAAAGTGAGGTCACAAGATCTACTAATTGACTCCTTTGTGGCTAAGCATTGGCAGAGCCATCTATGTGCAGAAACATTTAACCCAGTAATGCCAAAGGAAACACGCCATTTTCCTGTCGACATTGGGTTAAGGAGCCATGACCTGACAAGCTTTACCTTGCCAGAAAAATAAATAATGTAGGTTTCTTGACCTTTGTGGAAGTGCAAAATGTGAAGCCTGTGGTGACTACATGACTGTGACATTATATTGTTGGACCTCCGACTTTAGACTCTACATCATAAATCAAAGCAAGTTGTAAGTGAATTTGTATAGAACACAGCTTGTATAATTATGTGTGCTTGATACATTCTGTCACTTTTACCTCCCATATATTGCAGACCTTTATTACTGTTAGCTTTTAAAGAAAATGCCATAGATGAGAAGTAATTAATTTTTTCTGTTCATTTTAGCCAAAGATTACTGTGTACTATATATCTGGTTGTGTGAAACTGAAACTGCACCCTTTCATGTATCATATAATACAGACTTTAAATTATGAGATAGTTTCATGCATAGGTGTTTTATCATGAATAAGAATTTTCTGTATTGGTATATTATGTTGATATAGGATATATCATGTCTTGTATAATTTAATGTACAAGACAGGTTGATCATTCATAGGTTATGTTTATATTGCAAAGAGTAGGTTTTTATACAATATGTCCATTATGTACAAGGGTACTTAATGTATAGACTAGTTTAGATTAAAAGAGGGATTGCGGTATCAGTAAAATGTGTTTTGCATAGGGTGGGTATATGTATAGGAGGATTATTTGTAGATTTGGTTTATCTTAGTAGATATATGTACAGATTA